TCTCCTGATATCAGGCATCTCAAAGAGCAAGACTTGGAGTCTCTGTTCTGGAGTAAGCCTCTGTGGGCAGGCTGGGCAGAGCAGCCAGTCCCCAGAACAGCGGGCCGACCCCGAGAGCATGGAGCGGCCCTCCATGGACGGTCCGTGGCCACAGTGGCCACTCTATGAAGAGCACCACAGCAGGGCGCTGTGCCAGCTCTGCCAGCTGGTGAGGCCTCCACCACTACACCCTGGCCTCCCGGGTCTGGGAGGACAGACGGCCGAGGGGGGGCGTGCAGCTCACAGGGCCGTGCTGCCGGGGGTGTCTGCGAGTGAACTTGGGGGCCGACAGGGAGGCTCTGCTCCACGGCCAGGGCAGCCCCGAGGCTGGGGAGGTGGGAAGGGGATCTCACGGGGCAAGCAGAGGTGTGCGGTTCCCAGTCGCGAGTTCACTGCCGCATGCCCCCTTGCCCGCGGTTCTGCAGGAAGCGGGGTGGTCGAGGCAGCGTGCAGCGTGGTGACACTGCAGAGCCACTCGGGCGAGCGAGCGCCATGCACGTAGTCAGGGCTGGAGGAATCTCGGCAGTGTGTGAATGCGATGTGGTGCACGTCGTGGTGCTTCCCATGGGAGCCGGGGGAGGGGCTCCCCCAGAGGGCATCTGCGTCTCCAGACGTCCAGCTGCGTCCTCCGCCGCCAGCCGGCACCGCAGCCCCCACGTGGCTAGTGCTTTAGCCCCAGGGACAGTCAGCGACGGGGAGGCGGGCGTAAGCGGAGAGTGCGGGGCAGGGCGCGCTGGGCGCTGTCTGCAGCCGTCCGGCAGCGCCGCTCTCCTTCCCCACACCCCGGGGGAGCCCTTCCCCTTGGGAGGCCTCACCCCCTGGCAGGAGCCGGCCTGCTTCCAGACGGCCTCTGAGCACAGGCTTGCCGGGGCTCAGAGCGTGGCCCGTGTGTCCCGGCTGGGTTCCCTGGCCTGCTGTACTCAGTCCTCCTCCTCCCCCAACCTCGGCAGCACGGTGGCACGAAGATCAGGACAGCGCATGGTCCGAGGTGACGGCGGTCCACGGCCCCCGTGCCCCGACTTACCTGCTGGTGTTTCACGGGCCGAGGGCACCCAGTGCACCATGCCACTTGTTAGTCAGGGGCACCAAGAAGAAACTTACAACATCCACGTGCAATCAGTACACCACTCTAGTGCTGGTCAATGTTTAATAAAATTCACAAAAGGAAACAATGTACACAAAGTGGGAATCAACAACAAACTCAAACTTCCCTGCAGCCCCCAAGGACAGCCACCGTTAAGTACAGCACAGCAGACAGGGCCTGGCTCTCACGGAGAGCCCAGCACATCCCCCACACCACACCGCAGCCTGCGAGGCCATGCAAGGAGAGGTGGCCACGGCCCAGGTGGCCACAGAAGGACAGCGTGAACAGTGGGCACCAGGCCGACACATCTGGCCAGCGACGCATCGGGGCACGGACCTTCCCTAAGGAATTCCTATGAGAATCGCAGACAGTCCTGGCTGGGGCACAGTGAGTGAATATGCTTGCGGCACTTGCATGTCTCCAGGGGACTTCTGTCTCATGACCCCGAGTGGCAGGGCCACTGCCTCCGGTCCGGTTTGGCTCCACCTGTGCCTCTTCCCCCGGGGGGGAGGGGAGAGTGCACTGTGGCCCAGGCAGGGCACAGCTCGTCCTGGAAACACTGCTGGTGCCACACAGGTGCTACTGTGTCCTTCGTGTCACCCCTGAAGCTTATGTTCCCGAGGGAATGCAGCCACAAATTAGGACAGCAGTGTTAGCAATGAAGGATGAACTGGAAGACGTTTAATAAGATTAAAATGCAATAAAACCTAACGGGAAATAAACATGGTGGTTAATTGGTAAGTCTGATTGGGGTGAGCGCAGTTGGTGTCCTATGATGTCAGAGTGCTGGCGGAGCAAGGCCGGTTATAAATGAGCCTTAAAGGAGAGCGAGCAGGGAGAGGCTGGTGAAGACACACCAGCAAGGGGCCTTGCTCTAAAAACCCCAAAAGTGGAACGAGGAGAATCGACCCAGCGCCAGGCCGGGCATGCTTGCTCCGGTGTGACTGTCTGGCTGTGTCAGCAGCTTGGGCAGCTTTATTTCCTCCCACTGAGTCCACGCTCAAAGCTCTGGCCCTGCGCTGAGCCGGCCGAGGGACAGCCCAGGAACAGAGGAGGGGGCGGGGGGGTCTGCGTGGGTATGTTCCTTCCAGTCTCCACCCCGAAGGTCGGCCCCCTCCCATAAAGCCTGATAATCTGAGGAAGGGGAAACCTGCCCCTTCCCAGCAACAACGCAGCCCTTCTTCTGACAACAAAGGAGAAAGGGCTTTGTCAATGCACTTTTCATTTAGGGCTCTCAGAAGAATATGCCTTCTCAAGGAATGTTCTATGCACTTCCCTTGAAGGTCAACTGCCAGTGTGGGAACACAAAGGCTGGTGCTGTCTGTGCGTCCCCAGGGGGTGGGCAGGAGCAGGGCCAGCGTGTGCCTGGGAGGGAGGGGAGGGGTTGGGACAGCAGCCATTTGTGTGTGTGTGTGTTTACATGTGCACGTGCATGCATGTGTGTGGCATTCCGTGTCTTGCTACATTCTACCATGAGAGCCCCATTTGAGCAGATGATGCAAGCTGCATTCCCGTGTCCCCTCAGGCTTGAGCCTGGCCTGGGAGGAGCGCTTGGGGACCAGCACCGTGGCGTGGGCTTTGTCTGCAGGCTGGCCTTGGGACCGCTTTCACCCCAAGTGTCTTAAGCCCATTCCAGAGACCCAAGACACCTGTAAGAACAGGAGTGTAAAACAGGGAGGCTCATCGAAGCAACATTCAAAGTGTCTCTCCAGGGGCCTAGGTGCACAGATACCTGGACGTCCAGGGCGGCTGTGGGTTTGCTACTCAGCATGGCATGCCTTCAACCTGCATCTCCAGTGTCTAAGAACACAGTGCTCACAGGAAGCGACTGCCCGCGGCTGGCCCCACCTGCCGGCTGGAGCCCAACCCTTCATGGCTTCATGTGCAAACGCTAATGGCATCTGCTGCTTCTTTAATGCACTAAGGCTTCCACTTAAAAAAAATTATGGGTTGGTCCTGGGCTTGAACTCAGGGTCTAGGTGCTGTCCCTGAGCCTCTTTGTGCTCAAGGCCTGGGCTCTACCCAGCCACAGCACACTTCTGGACTTTTCTGAGCAGTTTTTAGAGATAACAGTTTCCTAGACTGGCTTGGGACTGCGGCCCTCAGACCCAGCCTCGCAGGCCTGTGCCGCCGGTGGCCGCTCACTTAACACCTTTTGTGTCTGAAATGTCTGGAAGTGAAGAAGAACATCTCAACTTCTTTTTCTTAAAAACCCAAATAGTGAAAGTTTGTTTCAATTTTTTAAAATCCTATGGCTTTTTTGTTTCATGCACCTTGCTAGGCTGCAGGTGCTGTGTGCTAAGCGTGCCAAGTGTGCCTCTTCTGAGCATGAGCGCCCCTTCTGAGCACGAGGCCTTTCCCCCCGGCGCCTGACGGCCGGAGGTGGCTTCGTGCTGTGGCGGGGGCCTGGGTGAGGATGGGGAGCACCAGAGCCTGTCCTGATGGCAGTGCTCACCATGAGTGCGCTCTCATTCAGCCCGAGCCCTGGCACTGACCCGAGCCGCGCTTCAGAGCCAAGCTGCCGGGCAGAGTACTTCCCGCAGGCTTCAGATTCCACCTGGCTGCCGAGCCTGGCGAGGCTGATTGGTGACAGCAGCTAGGCAGACAGGGAGCCGGGAGCCACGCTACCCAGGGGCTCCACAGCTGCGCCTGAAGAGGCGCCCCTCAGGGAAACTGGCTTTAGAAATCAGAGACTGGGATTTGAGGCACTAATACTGCCCAGAAACAAAGTGAAAGAAAATGTCTGTGACTGCAGCACCGAAGGAGCCAACCAGATCGCCAAGCCCATACAGAGATGCCAGGATCACACCAATGTTAGGTACAAGAGTCACCAGCACGCGTCCCTGCTCACCTGCCGCTGCCGCTACCCCCACAACTCCACAGCCATCGTCACCCAGAGAACTGGGGTGGATTACAGAAAGCTCCTGGAGCTTCCAGGGGGCCAGGGGAGGGGTGTCCCCGGGCGGGGCCTCTGCCCCACAGTACCCCGAGGTGGGAAGGTCCCAAAGGAGCCACCCCAAATGAGCGCAGCACACAGGCAGCACACACCTCAGAGGTCTGTGAGACACCCGGTCACCACAGGCTGGTTCTGAAACAGCTTTCTCTCTCTCCAAAATCACCGAACCGTCCAACAAAGTACCGTTTACACACAGTGCCTGGGTGGCAGGTGTGAGTGCAGGACACGAACACTTGTGGCCCCGCTGGCCAAGCACGCTGCCGCAAGCCCGCCCTCCGCAGGACGCTGCTCCTCGGACACGATTTACCCCCAGAACATTTGCTTCCCAATAATGACATTTCCAAGAAGCTAGATTCCAATCACTGCAATTTCACAATAAACAAAGTCCCGATTCAAAGACGTCCATTCATTCCCTCCACCATTCCCCAGACACATTTGGACAAAGAAAAAACAGAATCAAGTTTTCTTAAGGCAAATTGACACAGCGGCCCCTGTCCCCAGCGCCCCGGGGCCCTCCGTGGGGTTACTGCGGCACGGCAGATTGACACAGGCAGCCCTGACCCACAGGTCCGCGCTGACCCCCCAAAGCGGGAGACCTGCAGAGGCAAAATCTGTCACACCCCAAGCACGGGGGCACAGAAGACCAGAAATGTGACCTGAAAATGGCCGGGCCCTGGGACAGCTGAGGGGCCTCGGATCCTTGTGTCCCCACCGCACCATGCTGGTCTCTTGTGAGGAGGAGAAAGAAGGCAGAGCAAGCCGCCGCAGCCACGAGCCCCGGGGGCGCCCCCCGGCTCCCCGGGGCGGTGAGCGCCTTCCGGCCCAGCCAGCGCCCTGGCCGCAGGCACGCCCTGGGACTGCCAACCCGGCCGGCTTTCTGCGCCACGGGGAGCGCACCGCGCTCTACTCGGCGGAGCTCACCTTGCCGGAGCCCCGCTTGGGCGCGCCCCTGTCGGCACCAAAGAAGCGGCCGATGGAGTCGAGGATGCCCGTGTCTCTGTGCCTGGGCAGGAAGTGCCTGGCGTGGTCCATGGTGCTGGCCGAGGCCAGGTACTTGGATCCGTGCCTCTGGGAGGGTCTCTTCTGCGACGCCATCACGTCTGGGGGTTCACAAGCTGCGGTGCTGTCTTCTCGGATGGTCTGGAGCTCGTCGGACTCGGAGGGCCTGTCTTTGAAGGTGTTGTCCTCCCTTCCTGGGGCATCTCGGGAAAAGAGGCGGATCAAGTGGGGGCGGCTCCCTGGGCCGGCTGGGTGGGCACCCCGCCAGGCATTCTTCGGGTCCGCTGTGCTCTTGGAGTCTGTCACCGCCGCGTCCTCGGACGAGGTCCCATTGTTCGGAGTCCCATCTGCCTCGCCTGCAACAACAAGGAGATGTGAATACGGGCCTGTGCCCGGCCATGCAGGACAAAGCCACTTTCTTCCCGGGGGCCTGAACAGGCCGGTTCCTCTCAAACCCACAGGGCAAGTGCGGGGCCCCGGAGCCACGGTGAACCGCGAAGGGCCTCTGGCGGGAGCTAACCTGCCCGCTGCACGGTCCACGCATTCCCGTACCCCACCAAGTCCAGGGCTGCCCCGTGACCCCGGGCTGGACCCTGCCGCTCAACGTGGAGCGGGGGCTCCCAGGAGCACCCGTACCTCAAGGCCAGCGCGGGGCTCGGGAGCGTCCCGTCCTGGGAACGCTCACTTGACAAAAGCTGTCTTTAACTGTCTTGGCAGAAAGTAGAACTTCCCACATCTTTTTGTAATTTATGCTTTAAAGAAACTGGGCGTTTAAATTCTTCCACTCCAGATCCCAGAGAGGCCTCTCTTGTGGGAGAGCTGCTTGCTCAGGACATTTCCTCTGGCCTCTCCCCTGAGAACGGGGACAGTTGCCACGTGGAGATGGGCGAGGGGTACTGCATGCTGTCTGCCGCCATCTTGTTGCCTTCCCCAGATGGCACACTTGTCTCACAGGCGGCAACGAGCCAGCCATCGCCCTTCCATCCATTCACCCATCACTGGCATTTACCAACAAACCTACCTGGCCACCCCGTTTATCCACCTGCCATCTGCGAGCCCCTGTCACAGATGCACCCGTTATTTACTGAGCACTTGATAAGCACAATCATTACTGAGTTCTAGAGACCAGGCCCTTCTTCTCCTGAGGCTCACATTCTGGTGCATGACCACACAGGAAAACATGCCTTATGTGTCGAGTAGCACCCCTAAAATGTAGCACCCCTAAGATGCCATGTCTAGTCCTACTTCTCTTCCTATGAGTGTGTCCGTATTGGAAGCAGGGGTCTTTGCAGCTGAGACCAAATGAAGATGAGCTCCTGTTGCAACACAGTGGCTTCATCCGATGAGCGGGGTCTTGTGAGACAGGGAACTCTGGACACAGAGACACAGATGTATAGGGCCGCAGGATGACGAGGAGGCAGGGACTCTGGTGACCCAGCCCATGTGCCCCAGGCACATAGGAGCATTTACACTTCCGGAAGGCTGGTCTGTCCTCCAGGCCTCGGGAGCTAGTGTCTCTAAAGCTGTGAGAATCAGCTCAGTGCCCAGGTGTAACCAAGTGCCACACACCACCCGCTGTCGTACAAGGCGGTGACATGGGGACCGAGCACACGGAGGTCAGAGTGGTCCTTCGGAGGTGATGCTTGATGGGGTGGGCCTGGGCTGGGGAGGGGAGCGCGCTCCCCAGAGGCCTGGGTGGAGGGAGGGCCACACACTGTGTTGAGCCCATGGGACGGGGTCCCGGGGGCACATGGGGGCACTGTGCTGAGCCCACGGGACAGGGTGCAGGGGGCATGGGGGGCACACTGTGCTGAGCCCATGGGATGGGGTCTGGGGCACGGGGGGGCACACTGTGCTGAGCCCACGGGACGGGGTCTGGGGGCATGGGGGGCACTGTGCTGAGCCCACAGGATGGGGTCTGGGGGCATGGGGGGCACTGTGCTGGGCCCACAGACGGGGCCCAGGGGGGCACTGCAGGAGACTGGGGTGGGTGTCATGGGCTTTTCATGTAGGATGTGGCTCTCGTGGCGCGCTGGGCAGGTGGTGAGGGCAGTGTCGGGCTGGCCAGAGGCTCAGGGTCCCCACCACAGGGCTGAGGCAGCCCCTCCCAGAGAACGAGAGCCTCACCTGGGATGCAGGTGAAGGGCGGCGGGCGGCCCGCTCCCCTCAGAGGGCTCCGTCTGCTGGCCTGGCCCGCACGGCCGCACTGGCTCTGTGGCCCCCAGGTCTGGCACCACCCGCCCCGCAGCGCGGCGCACCGCAAGGTCCTGCTCGCAGGCCCTCCCGAGCCAGGTGGGCACGTGGGAAAGGCTGGCGGCTGGGGTGTGCCCCTGCTGAGGAAGTTCTTGGGGTGGCCACCGCCCTGTCTGGCATGGACGGAGACGCCAAGAGCCCTCACGACGGAGCTGCCTGGGACAGGCCCCCATGGACTGCCCTCCTCGGGGAGCAGCTAGAGGAAGAGCACTCCCAACACCCGGTCCGCGACCCCCAGGAAGACACCAGCCGGAGAGTGCTCCTGCGGTGGGCCAGGCCGCACCCACCACAGCTCTTCAGGACCAGCAGAGCCGACTACTTCCCGTGACAGCTGCACCTAGGCCAGTGAGGCCCCAGCTCATGCGGGCGCACGGGCGTCTCTAGCTCTCCACTGGCGCTCGGTGCTGACTGAGCAGGCCTCACAGAGGGGGGCTGCTGACGGCCGCTGCCTGCGGCACGGCACGCTCCACAGTGCCATTGGAAAGCCTTCTGGTCCACTCGGCCAGGAAGACCCCGACCCAGGGCGGCCTCCTCTTCACTTCTTCATGTGTTGCCCAGGGCTTCTTGAGTAAATGGAATAAATGATCTATTCTGCACGTGTCTGAGCTCACAGGGCTCAGGCCAAAAGGCCACGGAGAAGATGGGTCATAGTTCTGGGGGACGATGGCTGCCTGTGAAGGCCAAGGTTGGCAATTTCCTTTGACATTATATATATATATATATATATATACACACACACACACACATATACATGTATATGTACATATACATACGTGTGTGTATATGCATATATACACATACATACACACATATACATACCTGTATATTACACATGAAAGCTTGTACAAACCTAATACACTGGATTTCAAACATCAACATCATAGGGCAGTTTAGAAACAGCCCTATCCAAGCCTAAGAGCAGTCAGTCAGTCCCTCAATGCACAGCTGATAAACAGCCAATATCAGATCTTGTGTCCACTCACACACACAGGTAATGTCTATCAGTGACCAAGTGCAAGGCAAACAGACAGCAGAGCCCAGGGCCACATGGTTTCGTACAGGCTCCTGATAGTGCTTGCAGCTGCTGGGTGTGTTCTGTGGCCACAGTGCTGCAGAAACAGCCACCCAGGGGTAGAGTGCTTGCCTAGCATGCACAAGGCCCTGGGTTCCATGCACAGCACCCCAAAAGAATTTTAAAGCTAAAACCAGCAACTTGGTGTTAGAGGAAAATACAATAGGCCACAGTCAGGATAAGCGAGAAAGAAGGGGTGTGTGCGGAACGGGGGGGGGGCCCTCTCAGGACCACGCGAGAATGCTGATACTCGCGGCACCGTGCTCCGATGCATCGCTGCCCTGCAAACAACCTGAGCATGGTACAAGCTGCAGCTTTCAGAGAGATGCAACGGTGATTTATCAGCGGCAGCAGCAACTGACAAGTCTGATTTCTGTGGCTGTGCTTTATGTTCTGTGGCTGGTATAAAGTAATGCAAATGGGCAAGGAGACAATAGCTCTATTATACGTCATTACATGCATTAACAAAACACAAGAGCATCTGAATACTAATACTTCTACAACAGTTGGCCTTTGTGTCCCTGAATACAGCTATTTGTGGGGCACAGAGAAGGCGTTTTGTATCCCCAAAGTAGCTTCTCCCAACCGGTGGAGTCTAGATCTGGGGGGCGGCGGCTGGGTGGGACAAGCCATTACATGTGCCCCCAGGCCTGCCCTGACAGAAACGAGAGCAGCACAGACTCCTCGCCTGGAAGACGATTCTAGAACGGAGCACTTAGGACATAAGCAGTGACACATGCAGATCTAATTTCTCCAGAATGGGCACTGGCAGTGTTTTTGGTATTAGTGACTCACTTCTCCAAATACAGGAAAATTTACTTAGCAGGGCCCGGGTGGCTCACAGCTGTGATCAGGAGGCTGAGATCCGAGGATCATAATTCACAGCCGGCCCAGGCAGGAAAGAAAGTCTGTGAGACTCTTATCTCCAATTCACTCGCAAAAAGCCAGAAGTGGAGCAGTGACTCACATGACAGAGCTCCATCCTGGAGTGAACAAGTTCACGGGACAGCACCCTGGTCCTGAGTTCAAGCCCCAGTTCCAGCACACACACACAAATGACACTTCAATGCTGCTGCTAGAAGAACTGTAGAAAGCCTTCCGAAGGGATGAAGCTAATCATTTCTTAGGGACGCAGAAACATCGCTGGATTTTCAGTGGTGTCTGGAGGCAGAAGCACACAGGGCTGTGGCATGTGCAGGTGGCAGGTGGGATGCTGTGACCCCAGGGCACCGTCCATGCAGGCCATGGCTAGGCCCGTGTGTCAGACGCATGGCCTGCTCGCCGGTCCACCCCACCGACTACTGCTTTTTCCTCTAGATTGTTCCTATCTGGGTGATGACAGCCTCCTCTTCTTTCCTTCCTATTTCTGTCCACGTGCTGGGCTTTTGCTGCCTTTTTCCTAGCACTGAGGTTCTCAGGAATGGGTGTTTCAAGGTTCCCCATCTATACACCTGCAAAACGATTCATAGGAGATCTGCCACGAATAGCCCCTACCTTGTGCACCGTTATCAGAGCCTGCATCTGCTCTGCCTTTTGTCCCACATACAAGCCCCTGCTTGGACCAAAGCTCGCTGTGGTTGCCCCGGTGGCCACCCCGGCTTTCTGTGCGCACCTTATCCCTGCTCAGTGCGCGAGGCTCTGCGGGCTTCCTGTTCATGGCTTCCATTTGCCAGGCCTCTCCCCTGTGGGCAGCCTCCTCTTGGGGGCCAGGACTCTGTATTTGTGTCTATTCTTCAATCTTTAGGACAGCTTCAGGGCCTTGGTGAGGCACAGCCAGCATAAAACTGTTACACAGTGGAATAGGCTGGCATTTCCAGAACCTTCTCTCTCCAGAAGAACATAAGATCCTTCGTGGGGAGAGCCTGGAGACTGACACGGTAGCTGCCAGGTTGCTTTTATGCGTCACTTTAGGTGGGAGCTTTTCTTCTGTCTTGAAGGCGTCCATCCGCTGCATCAGGAGCTGGGTCGGATGGCCCTCAGGTGTGCAGTTCTCTGCGGCTGTGCCCAAGGCCTTGTGGCATTCTGCTCATG